GGCTGGCGGCAAGTAAAGCAGAACAGGCGGGCCGCAGATAAAATAGATCTAAGGATATTATATCAGATGACCAGACCTCTATCCGAAAAGAGCCCAACCCAAATGATGAAGCCAACAAAGGTGCTCGAGGGAACCTAATTATCAAGGAGCAGAATAAAATCAAACAATGGGCTGATCAATTTAAAGGACACTTGAATTGACCACCACAGTCAAATCACCCAGAAATACTACCAACAGCACACACGGAACTGCCTGCCAGTCGGCACCACTCCTCCAACGAAGGCAGAAATTGTGAATGCGATCAAGCTACTGAAGCTCAGTCAGGAAGGCAGCAGCACCAAACAGAATTCCTCCTGAAACACTGAAGACGGCCCCAGAGATTACGGCAGATGTTCTCACGCCATCACTGCAAAAGGTTTGGAAAGAAGGAATGGCACCTACCGATTTGAAGAAAGGCTGGCTACCTTTTCAAGCTACCAAAGAAGGGTGACCTAGGCCCCACTCTGCAAGAACTGACTGGCCTGTAATAATGCACCTGTTGACGCCAAGTAAAATACTTAGTCGAATGAAGGGTGCACTGGATACAGAACTCCGCCAACCGGAACAAGCTGGATTCACGAGAATCGTATAGGCTGTACTCTTATCACTCTGGTCAGTATCATGCTAAGCTGTCGCATTTGTTGTTCTTAGGCACTCCGGTCTAAGTCATGATGGACGAAATTAATGATGCTGTCCAAACTTCGATCATACCATAATCCAGCTGACACGAAGTACCGAAGCAGTTTAGAAGATATAAAAAATATTATTGACTATATTAATGGCTCTCTTCAAAATGGGGGACTGAAATGAACACTTTGATTCTCCTGAATTTTAGCATACCCACAGTGAATGTTCGAATAACTCAAAAATGCTAATCGATGTGTCCGAAAATTTAAAATCATCACCACTGGTAAATTCATACTGTCTGTTATTGAACTCTTCCGTCAATAATGTTCACATCGTGAATTTAATGCAACTCAGATTGTTTGGCTACCATCTCCTGTGTACCACACATATTTATTTTTTGTTGGTACTAATCACCGAAGTACTATGTTCTTAAATTAGAGAGTGGGTTAGACATCTGTGCCACCCCTTAGCTGACAATCTGTCCCTTATTTTTACCTGTACGACTCTGCACCACTGATGAACAAATTTTTGTGGTTGTGTAACTGTAGGGGATCACAGAACTTCGTCTATTCAACTGAACCTCAATTGTTTCTCTTGCAACGGTTAGTTCGCTTTATTTATGCTGATTGGATCCGACTGCGGATAATTGGGTTTTTAAAAGACAAGAGTGCAAAATTGCGCTGTGATGCGACTGCATATCTCTACACTCTCTTCAAAACATCGTTAACAAACACACTTGGACAGCCGTAAAGGTTGTATTCAATCTTCGGTAGTTGGGCTAGTTTTAAGAGCACTCTGGCCATCAGATAAGATGGGTTAGGCTAAACTGTCAGCTGGTTATGCGGCCAAATGTCAGGAGCAGTATGATAGTTGGCTACGCAGCAATCATGAACGTTAGTTTAAGCCAATCAGAAACGAGCCCATAGTCGTTTGAACAGCCTAACTGACTGGTTTCGTAGATGATCGTAAAAGACTGGTTTTGGACCTGGGTTTAGCAGCGGTAACGGCTTCCATTGCACGTTAATAGATTAGATGACTTGGGCTGAAAAACAACTTGACCACAGTGGGTTTCACTAAACACTAAGAATATACATAATCGTGAGAATGCTACTTTGGATGACTCTTATGAGTATTCCTTTCATTTACACAAGTTTCCATCGTTCGGCAGTGAAGAGGAGTCATGAGGCCATAAATCACACAGACGAGGTCCCCCATCGCATCATAGTCAAACTTGTATGAAGAGGGGAGATATCATTTGTCTTGAAAAATAATGTCACAGCCTTTCAAACTTTGCGGAGCGATTCATAAAAGCAATGCATTTCGAGCTTCTTTCCGTCAGCACTAGAATAAATCTCTAAAAGTGTGGAGGCTCAATCTACAACTTCATGAACTGGCTAATACTTTTTTCATTTAAACAATTTTGGTACATCATATGTGACACAACTATTTTAGAACTACAGACACGATCAGTGATCTATCATTTGGAACTTAGCAAAATATCGAATTCTTCCTCGTTACTCGGACAAGTGATCAATCAGGTTTAGCTGCGTCTGCAGATGAGCATTACTGTCAATATGCTGCCCAACGATTAGTTTCCGTTAAGCTGTTTTGTGTTATTATTGTTACGATATATTTGTAGTTACACCCACTCGTCCTAAAAACATACGTTCTAATATTTTAAGGTTTTTCCTAAAATCATGGTTCAGGTAAAGCGAAATCAAATAGGAATTTGTCAGGCGCTCTTTATTTTTAACACGCATGTGAAGATTCAGAAACTACAATAGACATCTTTACATGCTGAGGTAGATCGTTGCGAAAAATCGTCCAGTTAAGAGACTGTGTAGCCGTTTGCTTCGCTTAGTTGGACATCCCTAATTATTCCAGATTATGTGTGTATTCGATTTATTGAGGACAGCTAAACAGGTTAATTAGACTTAAATTTGATCGACACCGAAATAATGAGGAATAGCGCAGATTCATCATAATAAAAGTGTAGGTGTATGAATGAGTGGGTGTTGATTAATATTGGGTAATACAAAAACTGTTTTGAAAATCAGGTTTTAATGGGAATGCATCAACTTATCGTTCAAGTTACCAACGAACACTAGGAAACAGAAGAGAACTAATTTGAATTTTAATGCTAAGATTTTACTTTGAATAGTCCTTAGATGTTCACTTCCTTAGAGTGTTGGTGAGGTGATTATGTCCTGAGATAACGTTCGTTGTTTTGCTTTCAAGTATTAGTAACAGGACTTCATCGTGGGCTGACATCGATCAGAGAGTCATTGGAAAACCCGGAAGCCCTAGACAGTTGTTTTGTCCCAGTTTGCTAGTCTTCATCAGCACGCCCTCAGTGATATTCGAGAAAAGGACCTTCTGGTTACAGGGCGAGCTCGTAGTCCATTAAGCCCTGGGATTCCAACTTGTGCCAACTCACGACATAGTGAGACCACTAGCCAATGTCTTCGACGAGTATTTTTCCTCACGCACAACCGCAAAAACCTCAATTAGTGACCTCCGCGGAAGAGCAATCTCTTTACGTGAAGTTTCTGGGCAGCAAATTTATGTGGTTTATTTTCATGAGTTGACCCATGACAATACTACCTACACTGCTCTAAAGAACATTTTAGTTGGTTTCGTGTTTAGATATACAGTACTCTGAATCTGTGTGTCAAGAATTGCGAAATGTTAGTCATGTTGCCACTTAGCAATATGATGGGCCCAACACTGTGGCACTGGTACTGTACCTGTCTTTGAGAATCGTCGGGTGCCAGCATCATGCCAAACATAGATGAGATTCGCATTCGAGACCAGCGATTCTAGGAGGCTAGTAAGTTTGACTGCTTGGACTACTTCGAGCTTATTCTCACGCTATCTCCAGCTAGCAACAACATTCATGATGGTAGCGTGGTCATCCGTCCTACTGAACACAAACATTGCCATAAGATTGACCGGTGCTTTAGTGTAGCCCAGCTTGATCTAGTGTCTAGGATGCATCCAATATCTGATGGTAGGATGCATTCAGTTAATGGTAGTATTGAAATGACAAAAAGCTACACCCATCAGACCGCAATGACCACTCTCTTGTTCCGTGACAGTGAAATGTCTTCTTCGATCTCCAACAGTAATGAAATACAAACTGCCACTGAACATGAGTCTGTTTGGAATTCAGAAAAATTTATATGATGCCCCATGCACTGATGCGTGGCCAACGTGATGCCATGCTGAGTTTCTAGGCGAATATTTTAAGAGGTCTATGAACAAGGAGTTATGTGAAGGCAGTTTATTTACACTGTTTTTCCATAGTGACTATCTAGTCACTAGTCTGTCAGAAATACAAGTTAAGATTTGCTCGTACGCCCTTCATGAAAAGGTGTGTGCTTCACATGTTTGCTGTAATGATATATGTATAAAGTGCATTTCTTTATTTCTATTCACTCAAACACTGGATGAGTTTCGAAATGCTTTTATTTACCTCAAAGCATTTTTTTCTGAAATATGGTCAAATACAGGGAGCAAGCAAAACGAAATCCATATAGGTGATACATCTCATTCTGCCCTAATAATATATGTTGCTTGCTTATATTCTGTACCGGGAAACAAATGCTTCCAAAACAAGTTAATTGACTCAGAGTGAATGCAGCAACGACAATTTTCGAACAGACTGTTTGCATGCCCCTCAGATGCCTCAATTTATCAATGGGCCCCAAGAAAACCAATGAATCATCCCCACCCAGACTCCTTGTATCGTCGCTCTAATTTATTCATTTACTTCTCATCCCTATTTTTGATTATATATCTAAACATTTATTTGTTTTTCTATTAAGCCTTAAATATTCGCCGTTAGTTATATTATTCGTACTATTGCCATTATTGTTAGTCATCTTTGCGATCACATGGGATGATTATCAAATGAAATAAATAACTCCAGTCATTGCAACAAGTTAGTTTTTAACAGTGCGTACTGCAAATCACATATTATCGAACTCTCCAACAAGTCAGCTCGGGGACCACCTAAGATGCCGTGGGCCTTACCTGACAACCGGGATTTGAGCTGAAAGAAATCAGTTTGGTTCATATAGACTTGTGAATAGTATATTGAAAACTAGCTGGATATGGTTACCAAATGTCATTTAGCTATATTCAACTTGTTATAGCTAAATTTAAATTGATTTTAAACCTTAAAGCAGACGAAACGCAAAGAAAATGACCTATTTTCAAAGTGAGAACGTTGTATTCGTATTTTGTTTTAGTGTGTCAAACACATAACGTTGTCATAGCAAATATTTTCGGTTTTTCAAAGTCGTTTGACAATGGAGGATGAAGTTGGATTCCAGAAACTTAAGCTTACTGGAGTAATAGGCTTCAATGGTTTGTGTTTTACCTGTATTTCTATTTCGGTTTTAGGAAAAGTTCAAAATGGATTCTTAGTACACCCTGATCGTCAACACTTTGTCTTTTCTTTGGGAAGCAATGTTGTAATTGAGAATATCGGTAATAAAGAACAATACTTTCTGCAAGGGCACACAAATAATGTAGTGTGTATTGACATTAACAAGACGGGGACATTTATAGCTTCTGGCCAGGTCACTTATATGGGTTACAAAGTAAATTGTCTTATTAACCACTGCTAATATTTTAAGGCGGCAATAATTGTCTGGAACTATGAAACAAAAGATAAATACGCGGAGTTTGTGTTGCATAAAGTTAAAGTTCAAGCCCTGAGCTTCTCACCAAATTCAAGTTACTTGGCAAGTCTTGGAGGTCAAGATGATGGAAGGTATAGTCAAAGTTTTTTAATGCCTGCAGTGTTGTCATTTGGTCAATACCTAAAAAAGAGGCTATATGTGGAAGTCCAGCTCAGCCCCAGAGCGCTGGAGTTACACTTGCGCTTGCTTACGCCAACACATGTGAAAATACATTCATAACAGCTGGGGAGTATGTTGTTTTAATTTTGTAAGTTTTGTTAAGAAACACAGTGCGAGTATGGAATCTGGACCTAGAAAACCGAAAAATCAGGCCAACTGACTGTACACTGGGGCAGATTAAGCGTACCATTCAGTGTTTATCTGTAAGTCGGAACGTTAATTTTCACTTCATCTTCAGGTGTCTCATAATGACAAAGTGTTTTTTGCAGGCACTACAACTGGGGATGTTTTGGCAATTAGCATGCAGCACTACCTACTTCAAGTTTTAGCGCCAGAAAAAGATGGTTTCAGTTTGGGTGTCACCACACTAAGAACACTAAGGGAATCGATGCTATTAGTTGGAACAGGAGACGGTGTGATACAAGAACTTTGTTACACTTTTAAAAAGGGGCTCAGACGTTGTCTTCCAACCCTTATAAAAACCAAGTAAGTGCCGTTTAATAGATAATTTTTTATTGTTTTTAAATTTGCTGATTGTTTTCAACCTGAACTAATATTTTTATAGCACTAATGAAATTATTAGGGCAGTTTTAATCACAAAAAATAATTTTTCATATTTGTCATTGCGTGATTCACGATTAGTAATAATCTTTCGAACATTTCAATAATTGAGGTGTGTTTATAGTTCTACAGTCCATGTTGCAATTTTTGTGCACTCCTCGTAGTATGTATGAGTTAACAGCTATATGAAAGGCATGTGCCTATTTGACTGACTTTTCCACTTAAAATTGTACAAAATACTGCAGTGTTTCAACTTGCCACACCTAAAAGACACAGACACACAGAACTAGGAAGTATAAATGCAGAGGATCTGTAGTAAAGAAAATGTACTGAGGAAAGAATAGTTAGGTGCAGATAAGTGACATATATTATAATAGGCCGGATTAGTACAATAAACAAGGAAAGGATCAGATTGTATACTTTTGCAATGAAAACACGCTCTCAATCCCACGGCACAGTAAACTTCAATATTCTCTTTATTATAAATCAAATAACTGTTGAGAATAACTATTATTCGCAATGATAAATGACTTGGTGTATAAGAACTGGCCTCTGAACTTTAAAGATCTCCTTAATTCCATTTTGAGGCACAATGCTACCTATTGTAGCAGAAATAATTGTACGAGCAGCACAAACAAAATTACTTAGAATTTTTCTCATTCTCTCAAAGTAGCAATTATCAAGATTGTTCACAGGAATAAATTTCAATTGAGGGGGTTGAGTTTGTTTCCGAAAAATTTATTTGGTTTACATATGTAAGAAAGGTTAAAAGTAACCGGAATGAGTCAGCAATAAAGACAACCTATTTCCATCATTGGATCTGAGACCATTCGGTTGAGATTTAAATGTCAACAACTAGCAGGATACGCTCTTGCTTTTGTTGACAATAAGGAGGTTGAAGACGAAGATGTACAGCCGTACGAATGACCACATCTTAGTCTTTTATTTCAAATATCACTTGCAGACTGCTAGAACATATGCGTTCTATTACAAAACGAAAATCTCTCTTTGTTCTTTTTTGACCGGTATAATCAGAAGGCAAGTTCCAAAATATCTAAATCTAAATGTTATAATGCAGACACAATACACCCCGTCATCTTTATTTATTGCAAAGTCCTACAGATTTCAAGTGAAAGAATCATAATCTTTAATGAAATAGATTGCTTTTTTAAATTAGTTGTAGGATGCTGTAAAACATTTATATCATACCAGATGCCTTTAAGAAGGTTGATAGTTGAGTCATCTGACTTAAACTGGCTACTGCATATATGCGCTAACCTCCAAAATGAATAAAATCTGCGAACATGATTTCTCTCCAGGCGTTTTCCTGCGTTATCCGCTACTACTCCACCTATTAGTTTAGTAAAAAAGTCGGCTACAAGAGTAGAAAGGAGCTTCAAGACACAATAACTGACCCTTCTTAGTACTGAAGAATAGATTCGAAGGATTACATAATAGACTAAGAAGTATAGGAGATCCATCCCGCTTCTTTGCACCAGTTTTGCTCACTGAGCATAACAATCCAAGTAAATTTCTACTAAAATCAATCAAGTAAATGAGGAGCGGTTACAGGTCTGATCACCAGCTGGTATCAGTTAGAGAACCACTGGAAAACCAGAAGCCGCTGGACGTCTGTTTCCGTTGTCCTAGTTTGGGACTCAACAGCAGTACGCACTCACCAGTGTTCGAACCCAAGACTTTCCAGTTACACGGAAAGCTTTTAGACCATTCAGCCACTGGGGCCAGATGATGTGACCCATGAATTTCAGTTTCTGTCAACTCGCAACTGTCAAACAGAGTTATAGGTGAATAACTGTTCTCTGGCTTCTCTCTAGAATTCCAGTTAACTTCCCGAATACAGTCAGTCGCTAGTGGGCATAGCGAATTATGATTTACTAACATTTTCATGTTAACCAAAGAAAAATCAGGTGGTTAATTGATTATTACGCCTGCTTTTTGAACATTTTAAATTACTGTACGCCCGGCTCAGTTAATAAAAGCGACCGAAAATATCTCTGAAGATGTTCAAGAATATTTTTCAATAAAGAGATTGACTACTGAATGGCAACATTGAGCACTTAAGGCTCAAAGAGTCAAAAACCAATTAAAACTAGCAGCGCGATGTTGTGCTGAGAGTTTTGTTTATACTTTATAGTTTGAAATAAATAAATTCTTTCTAATAATGTGCTTGAAACCTTTATTTGCTTTGCATTGCAGTAAAATGAAAAAGTTGCTAGGCAACGTGACAGCTATCAGTCTTCGTGGTGAAGGACATCAATTTTTTGTTACAACTGATAAATGTCATCTTTATCGATTCAATTATGCAGACTTCAATCATGAACTTATCAATACATGCCATAATGCAGCTGTCAATGACATCAGATTTCCTTAGTAAGTTCACAGAAAGAACTACATATGTATATATATCGTCCATGTTGTGTTTTTTGTCATCATTAACATAAAAGGCACAATGACAAAGCAAGTGACTGAATAAGTGAGCCACAGCTGATCATCATATAACAATTTAAAATTTCATCTTTTTTGCTATCTGTGCCTCCAGTTGTGTCTTTGGTCCAGCGGTAGAATGCCAACTGGCCATGTACACGGTCTAAGTCCAATTCTCAGCAAATGTCTTCCTAAACATTGCCTAGTTAACTAACCATCACTAAGCCTGGAATGGCGGGAGGTTTAGTGGACAGCGACTAGACTGGCAACCTCATCAACTAAAACAGGCGTAGACCAATTCAGCAGACATTAAACTGGAGGGTTAACTAAGTGAAGACACGCTAATAATAAGGCGTTGATTGACAGTAAGAAGCGAACTGAATGTGACAAAACGGTTTAATTTTTCCACACCACTTCAAAGCTTGATCCTAACTAAACTTCATGCAGTTGCTGATTAAGACAAAAAAACTGAATTAAGTAAAATCTCTCAAAGTAGATAAATTCTACTGATATCCGCAAAACACCAGCTAAATTTCAAAGCGTTCGGTTACTTCTTGTTAATACAAACTTTATAGATTTTAAATGAGATAATGTGAAGAAAAGAGCATTGTTCATTAAACTTGAGACTTTGGACATGTGAAGCTGACTTTTATCAATAATAATAATAATAACGATAACAATGATTTGCTTCATTTCAAAACAGTACTTATGATACAGAGGGGAAGTTTCAGCATTGGGTACAATATTACATCTAATTTACTCAAGAAGAGCGAAAAAATAATATTACAGCGTATAGGCGACCAAAATTGAAAATGGAAGCTTTTTGGTATTAGCAGTGACAATAAATTCGAAAATGTACAAAAAGTATAAAATGATAACAATAACATTAATAATTACTAAGATTATAAAATAGTTGAAATGGTGTCACCATAAATTACACATAGGAGAAGAGATCAAAGAGCCACCTATTTTGCTAATTACGTAGTAAATTATAAGTTTCATGCTTAACACTTTCTCTGTCACGTAGAATGCAGGTTGGCTGAATAGAGTATCGCTGAGTTTTGTACTTAGTTGTACAAGCAAACAATCTTTTATAATGACTTGTAGTCCTACCTGATGAGATGCAAGCGGCGGAAGAGTTGTGAATAGACAGGTTTAATAACAATATGGATTTAGACCGATTGTCACATGAGTTGTTCAGGTGTCTGTCAACTACAGTGGTAACGAGCTGACTTAGTGGTGGCACACCACTTGCCCTACTGACAACCTTTAATCTCCTGCTGAATATGACACAGTCCTTTTTGATTAGCCCAGGAAAGACCAAGGTAGGAGAAGTAGCATTAAAGAATAATAGGTAAGATGTAAGAGTTAACAAATTGTAAAAGTAGAGTTTGAGTGGTACCTATCTGATTGTTTTAACTCCTTCATGTAGTAGGTTAGGTGGAACATTTTCTTAGAAATCAGTGACGTCAGAGGGAAGAACTATTCCAAAATATGAAATACTTGACTTCGTATCTATTCCGATGACCTGTTTGCCAGAAGCATCAAGTGAACGAACCACATTTATGCTTGAAGGTGAATTTAACTGTCTGACATTTGTAGGGATTTAAGGCAAGATCATTAATCTTAATACTTCACATAAGTAAATAGTAAATAAAATGAAACAGCTAGTAGTAAGCTCGGTGATATCATGTTTACCAGTCTTTATAACTGTTCATTCATTCACTCAAGATAATAATGATGACCGTCAGTTGACTAAAACTCAAAACTAGAAACCAATTCTCAAGATAATTTGTAGTAACTAGTAAATTATCAGTCATTATATATTTTCAAGTTATTTAGTGCCCATTATTTCGCGTCAGTGCTACAATTATAGAATTCCTTGCCAGGTAACCACACGTATGGTCCTGATTAAAATTCCCAGTTGACTCACTTCTAAATCTCACTTAGTTTTAAACAGACGATAGTGAGCGGAGAAAAGGGGGTGGAGTTTGGGTGAGAGCCTAGTGAAACTAACCTGTAGAGTGAAACAGCACTACCGCTGCTGCATTGTCAACTAACCACACCTCAAAAGGGCCTGGGTTCGAATCCCGGCTGATGCACCGCTTAACCTTGGGGTAAAAGGGTTAAAGTTGGGCATTACGCTAGCCAACTTCACGCCTTAAAAAATAAAATCACTGCAAATGTTTCTCTATAAATGTACGCAGTTCATGTGTGTACAGTTATTTTTAATGGATTCTACTAAGAATTGTCATTTTTCGCGAGCTTTTGTCCAACGAAATTCTCCTGTTCTATTCATAATCCCGTGTTAGTTTTAAGAGCGCAGAGCTGACATTCTTTAGCAATGTTGTGATTTAAAAGTAATACTAGAATTGGATTAGTTCTTGTTAGTGTCACTGTAACGCTAGAAGACAAGAGACTTGGTAACGGAATGTTTTTTCTTTTTGGAACTTGGTATCTTTAATATTGGCGAGAGGAGGATTATGTACACCTTGTGTGCAAATCGTCATTTGCACAGGTCATCTGTGTCGTTGTGCTACTTCTGCCTTTAGCGTATTGTGTTGTTTCTTTGTCTTCTTTTCGTGTCTCTCATGTTTCGCCACAATGCACTGGTTGGTTAATTTGGTCTCTTTGACGTCAAATTTATCCTTCGGCTATTTGATATTATTTTTGTGCTAATGAACGTCTTTTTATATACTACTGATAAATCTTGTCAGTAGCACACGCGACATTACCAGAATAAACGACAATATACGACTGTTCACTGGAATGCAGTTCCTAGTATTGAGAAAAGATACAGAAGACTGACTGAGGAAACTCAATACGGCAAAAATACAATGGATTATGTATGCAGTTATTTAACATGACTAATAAATATATTACTAATTTAAGGTGTAAAATTCGAAACTTCTATTTCCCGTAGTGGTAAATTTAAAACAAGCGAAAGTTGTAGGGGAAAAAAAGTAGCATTTAATGAATCCATAAATTGCAATAAGATAGACTAAATGGGAACTTTATATGCAAAAATAAAATGTCCAGACGTTGTTCCTACCGTGGCCAAACTTGGATTTATGATACGTCTTCACACCAAGACTGCCTCTTCCCCTAATCCCTCTTGGCTTTTTTCCTTTTGCTTATTATTATAACAATTATTATTATTCGTTATAATTTATACCCTTCATTCAAACATTCTTTGAGCATTGTTTGATTGTTTTGAGTTATAAAACTTTCGAATTTCCTATTTACACTATTCGGATTTATCATTAGTGATATTATCTCTTTTTTCAATATATGCCTCCACCTGTTTCATTTCACACATTCATTATTTCACTATGAACCTTTCATTCTTTAATACATACTACTTCGTACTAGCCACTCACTCACCTGACACCTTTTATAACCTTGAACTGACTTGCCAATTTTTCCTACCCCACATTCTACGAATCTATTATGACTAATCACCACCATTGTCTCCCATTTTACAATATTTCGTAATCGATTTCAGCCAAGCACGTTTGTCACACAAATACGACTATTTATTTTGACACCCCATAACTAATCTGTTATTCTACGATAAAAAAATGTATCCGCCGCATAACTGGCCCATTATTGTAACGACAACAAACACTATTTATTTTATAGTTGTGAGAACCTGAAGATGGAAATTCATGATATGGGAATATTTCACAGTTAAATCCAATGTATATGTTAATATTGTAGTCTTTCGACGAATATTCACTTATTAATCGCATTAACAGATTATCACTCTTGAATCGCTTACAGATCATGTATTTGTTCAAACTGATCCTCATTCGTTGTTGTTGTCACAATGTTCGTGTGTTTATTTGTATGTTAACCTAAGGAGGAGATTGTATAAATCACAGTGTTTGTGGAGGAGTATTCAGCTGACGCCGAGTCGTTCTACCGAAATTTATGAATTCATTAAATTCTGCTTTTTCCCCCACAACTATCGCTTGTTTTAAGGTATAAAAGACTATGTTTTCACCGGATAGCTTGCATCAAGAAAAATTCAGATCCACAAAATCTGTAATCTACGTCAGGGTCAAATATACTGCTTACAGATCATGTGCAGAATATTGATTCATGACGTATATTTCCCTCTGTCCTAACACTTCCATTTTTAAAAAGGAGTTTTCAACTAAGGAACCTCTTGAAGTTACCTAGTAGGTGCTCGTACTCTCTGCCATTATCGTAGTATGACATCTCAGTGTAATTCTGCTTTTACTGGTGCCTTAGCAGCTTCTGCGCGCCTACTACAACTGCTTGGAACCCGGTTCAGTTTATTTATACATCTGTGAATAGGTGTTTGAGGAGGAAACATACAAACTTATGAACAAGCTGAATTTTAAGAGTGCTTTCAAAAGTAATAGTTTACTGATACTATAAATACCCAAAAGATCCATTAGTAAATTAGATATACTCGCTCTGACAGCACTTTTTATGATGAGCAATTATGGGCATGGAATGCCACTGTACTATCTTCAGCTGTGTGATAAGAATTACTATACGGTGACATTGTTTCGATTGATTGGACCGAAGTGCTCGGTCTCAGGTTGACATATCGTCTTCTTGTGCAGATGCTTCGACGATGTCTCGGCATGTAATTAGAATTTAATTGATGGGTGGTGACTTGCAGTGGAATCCAGGATGACGCTCATTTCGTCCTATTTAAAACTCGTCATCTGGATGTACCTGCACTTTCCAGTGAGTGATGATGACGGGAAAATCTAAAATTCAGTTAAATAGTTAATATGACCCGTTGCTTAAGAGGTGACTCTCGTGGTCCAAGTGGCGTTTGAAACTATGGACACTGAGTTCAAGCCTCGGTGGGATCATCATCACTCACTGGGGAATGCAGGTACATCCAGATGACGAGTCCCAAATAGGACGAAATGTGCATCCTGGATTCCACTGCTAGTCACCATCCACCAATTAAATTCTAACTACATGTCCAGACATTGTCGAAGCATCTGCACAAGAAGCCGACATGTCAACCTGAGACCGAGCACTTCGGTACAATCAAGCGAAACAATGTCACTGTAAATGACATGATTTGATTAGAGTTGATTTTAATTCCTCAAGAACTTTTAATTTAAAAATTTAAAGGCATACTATTGATAAATCGTCTTACTTATTATCACCAAGTAGTAATTTTGAGTTGTTTGCTTCTCCCTTTTTCTACGCCGTTTTCTTTTTTTGTTTTTACAGTAACTGTTCTGAACTCTTTGCAACTTGTGCATACCAAGATATTCGCGTATTTAACAAAAACAATCAACAAGAACTTTTACGTATCAGTATACCTAATATGACGTGTTATTGCATAGATCTACTGCACGATGGAACGGCTATTATTTCAGGTAATTGAAAGTGATTGTTAGTTTATTGAAATAACGCGGCAAAAACAAATACTCTTTAAAAACACAACATAATAACAACGACAATGTGATTTTCCCTCTGAAGCATCCAAGTAAAGGCGTGAAGACAGCTGGACACATCGAATTTGCGAACTTCAACAGATGCTAAAGTACTTTTAGATGGTTAGAGACAATCGGCAGAAAGCCTTGTATCTAGGTTTCGTGCTTGTTACCAATCTCCAATCCAGTCAACAAAGCGAATCTGTAACCATGCAAACTTGACTGATAGAATTCAATCTACGCCAACACCGAGGACTTACACTAGTTACTACCTAGTTTTCAATCAGAGTCTCTCTAATATAGTCCTACAAGAGGTCGATTTCGAACCCGAATAGCTCAGTGGTAACGTCTGTAACTGCAGCGATGGCTAACTTGGGTTCGAGTCTCATATGGCGCGTGAGATCCTTGAAGATTGCAGATACGTCTTGGGGACCTAGGTCTAGGCAGGACCTGCTTCCGATTACCTCCAACCGTCTAATAACAAAAGATCAGAGTGGATCCTGATGGCAAGCCACCTAGCTTGGTGCTGGGCACACTGCAAACTTGCTGATAGAATTCTGTCTGCACAAAACAAAGGAGTAGCTAACGCACGACACTAGTTACTGACTATGTAATGTCGAATCAAAGATACAAAGGCAGCTTGCTTTGAGAATTCGTGGAAATATACGGGGAAAAAGCGCACATCAATGATGAAGGTTAAGTTGTTAGATGGTTCTGTCTGATGTATCAATCAACAATAGGCTAGCATGCATCTCTGCACCAGATTATAATAATAATTATATATATATATATATACAGAATGAGTAATCAATGATAGGTTCTATCTGACTGAGACTCTGCAATTTTAAAACAAAAGCAAGAATAAAAGGTTGACTCCAGTTATTTATTTTAGTTGTATTGAAAACTGTCAGAGACCAGCATTTCAGTTGTCAGTTGATTTGTCTTCAGAAAATGCCAACTTTTATTGACAGATTTATGTCTATGCTTAGAAGAAGTTCGAAAATTTATATTTATTGCAGCAAAAGAAAACAAAACAATATGCTCTTAAATTATATATATGTCCAAACCAAGTTCACATTAAATAATTTGAATAAATTTGAGCAATAGGTATATGATATTGATTATTATAAAAGTTTCTGTATTTCCCATTAATGAATGGAAAACGACACCACGATATTGCCGCTTTCACTGTTATTAACTGCATCAAACTGTTACAACAGAAGGCAAGACATGGCAGCCAAGATATATTTTTCATTAATTAAACCACTGTTTATATATCTACAGTTTATGCTCAATCACCGAGCGTTTGATTTCGGTTTACGTCAAACAACATGAAATAGAATGTTCAAACATACATAGTATTTTGTTGCTAATGCCGAATTGAACTGTGGATATATGTGAGAATAATAATTCCGTTGGCAGACATTGTCTGTATCACACCACCACAAAGACATTATTATACCTGGATTTACAAAATCTCAGCTTTATATACATACACACAGGAACTTGATCATCGTTCTTCAGCATGAAATGGTAATTTTCATGTTGCTGTCAAGTTGATCAATTGGTAAAGATAAGTATATGCAATTATAACGGATAGCAATGAAAAAGAAATACCAAATATTACTAGAATACTTAGGAAAAATACTTACCCAAAGAACTTCATTGCCAAAATCAACACCAACAACAATAAACATGGTTAAAAATTGAATCCGAAGAAATGGACCTCAATAGTCGTCATTCCACATAGATCAGAAATGTCAAACGATATCAGAAGAGTACTCAATAAGCACGAAATCAGAGTTTTCTTCAAAACACCAGACACACCGCAAAGCAACCTCGTCCATATAAAAGAGCGAATCCCTAAAGATTCTCTATCTAATTGTGTCTATAAAATAAAATCCTTGGAATGTGATGTGATATACATCGGACAAACCTCAGGTGAAATAAAGATAAGAAGAAATGAACACCTTAGACTATCTGTTACACCACTGAGAAATCCACATGAAGTAGAAAAGCTTGAAAAATCATCAGCCATAGGTCGTCTACACACTATAGAATCAGGCCACAAAAGTGATTTCGACAGTACTGAAAAATCAAGAAAGATTTCAGAAATCACAAGTAGCATCTAATATCAGAGGCACTTCATATCAAATAGGATCCGAATTGTCTGATGAATAGGAATGATGGACTAACAACAGAATTCGATGTGGCTGCAACAGCTCTTTCCCCATGAGGTGACAGAATCAACACAAATGAAATCAGCAATTTCATTATGTAAACACATGACGTTTTTATAGTTCTGTACGCTTATTAAATCCAATAGTCTACTCACATGGCTTTGTTATCTTTACCAATTGACCAACTTGACAACAGCGTAAAAATTACCACCTCACGATCAAGTTCCTGTGTGTATATAAAGCTGAGGTTTTGTAAATCCAGGTTTAATAAAATTTAGATGCAATTATTAACGGTATTAGATAGCGAAACATCAGTGAAAGGAGCAATATCGTGGTGTCGTTTTCCATTCATCATTGAAAAATACAAATACTTTTATAATTATGCTATTGAATTGCAGTCAAGAGGCATATATTATAAGATCATGTTGTTTCTTAGTTTCTTTACAGTCACACCACATTAAAACTAGAAGTGTTGACAGCAGGTAGATGCTTGGGAAATTGAAACTCCCACAGGACTGTAGTGCACCTTCCATAGTACCGAATAAACTTAGGGCTAAAATAAATAAATGAAACTGACTGAATTATCAATAGTTAGTTTGTAGGGATTCAATTCGTTTCATGTTTGAGCATGGATTGATTTCAATTAAAGAATCATTCAAAACCCACCAACGGATACTGGAAAGCAGTTTCTGTTCTGACAGTACTCACCCAGTGAATAAAAGTCTAGCATACCTGCGAATATTTTCGGTGTTTTTCAGCTTCATTTCGATGGATATGAATCTGACCAGGTTATTCTATTCCTTTACGTTCCCAGTGGAATATAGGGCATCAAGCCATAGGCTTGAAGTTTCCATAGTAGTGGTGTTTATTTCCACGGGGTGAGGTTACCAACCTCACGCCCATATCTGACCAGGCTAGTGAGCCATTTTGCGCACTTCCTTTGTGCAGATGATGCGCTCAATCCTAGGGTCTTTTTTCTCAAATAATCTTTCATTCTATTTGAAGATATATTGTTCTTCAGAGCCTATCTCGAAATAATCGAGTCTTTTTGATTTCTGCTTTGTTATCGGTACCTGCAGGTTTGGTAGTATAGTGACTAAGTAGATAGTTGGTAACATTAGGTTAAGAAAGGCTGATATAGTGTAGTAAGTACCTCAACACCACAAACAGTCTCTTACTGGATGAGGATATGTATTCTCAACAAGGTCAAGTAATCTGGGCGGAGCTCAGCTGGAAAAAGATCGAAATCTATATCAGTTTGTGCAAATGATCTATGATGAATCTTATTAATCCACAGCACCTCCATTATCTGTGATAACCACACATTACTATTAAGCGAAATAATTGAGAAAATATAACTAGTACTGTTTCTATGCCTAGAAATTGATAAATGTCTCACAAATAGATACGATTTAATTTCTATTCATATTGAGCATATCTGACCTTTCTATGTGATTCAATAACCACTTAGAAACATATTCTTTCCGATAACAGTGGAACCTTCCATAAGTTCTATGTATAAACTGTGTCGTCGCGACTATCATTGAACTCTTAGATACAATGTGGTGTAAAACCAACCGAAATTCAATCTTTAATCATGGACACGGGAGGTGGGAAGTTGTTCGAGTGGTTAGAAGCAGGAATGCATCGATATTGTGGATGACCAATCGTCTGTTGGCGACAAGCATGAACTGGTCATTAGCTGTATATATAATCAATGACATTAAAGTTTGAATTTGAACTTTTCATTGACTAAGATGTTGGAAGTAACAAACAAGCGATAGATGCACCGTTAATAAACATGTGGTGGGAACTGACTTCATTTTAACAATTTATTTTCCTAATTACTATAAACTTTTTTTTAGTGAAACATCTGTCTTCAAGTAATCATAAAATTTTAGCGGAAACCACGATGACTCGTAGGCTGAATTGAAAATATTCAGTGGTCCGGGCTAGTGAGTATCATTAAAGTGTCAGTATATGTCAGAGAAATGCAAACTATGCGACGGCTTCCGAAACAAAGAAATCTGTTCTCATAAAACTACCGTATGATTCAGTTGAATGGCTGGTCGAAGCATTCTCTAACCTACTAAGCATAATAATAATCCCCACTACTAACATCTCGAACATCATCCCACCCCTGTGCCCATGATTAAATGAATTTCTGTTGGTTTTACTCCACATTGTATATAAAACTTCAATTGCAGTTGCGACGACACAGTCTATACATAGATCTTATGGAAGGTTCCACTGTTATCGGAAAGAATATGCCTCTAAGTGGTTATTGAATCACATAAAAAGATCAGATACACTCAAGCGTCATCGATTTGGGAAAAATTTACGAATGTATAGGCATAGTCCAGTCAAACGTGATTAATGATTCGAAATTATTTCGTATAATCGTGATCCAAGTCAATAATAGGTAATAGAGATACTGTAGATTAATTAGATTCATAGTAGATTGTGTGTACAAAGTAGGATAGAATTCAATCCTTTCCCAAATTATCACCTCCAAGATTATTTGACTTTATTTTATTTAGTTTAGACTTTGCTGTTGTCTGACTGGACCAAAGTTTTCGGCCTCTGTTGTCATGTCGGCTCCTTGTACGGATGCTTCGACGATGTCTGAGGATTTAACTTGAAGTAATTTGGTAGATGCGCAATTCGTCCTATTTGGAACCTGTTAGCTGGATGTACCTACATTCCCCAGTGAGTGATAGTGTTTCCAGTGAGGCTCAAACCCAGTGCCCATAGTTTCAAACG